TATATTACTCAAATGATTCAGATAAAAAGTGTCTAACCTAATGGAAAAGTTTGCATATCAACCACTGATACTATAGTACACTAATAAGTTAAATACCAATGAATATATACAGTGAAATATGTTTCAACTTATATAAAATGTGAAAATACAGACTGTAACATGTGCATTAAAAAAAAAAACAATAGTTATATCTCTGCATAAGTCATTTTTGGAGTCTAAAAATCAGTCATTCTATTGGGGTTTTTTAAATATTTTTTATTGAAACATTTTAAATGTGTGTACAGAAAAGAAAAAAAGGTAATTTACGCTACTGTATATATACACACTGCAGTTTTCTCATAAACGTGACCTTGGTTCTAGAACAGGCTCTATCTCAGTGACAAGATGCAATCAATTCACACATGTAGTGGTTAAGACAAAATTAAGAGTTCAGGTAACAATATCACTGGAGAAGGTATCACATGATAGTTTCTTTCTCATCGCTTCGCTGTTGAGTATGCAAGTGCAGCTAGCATAGTAGTATTTGCAATGGTAACTCTCACATGTTACAGTTTCTGTATGAGCAGTGTAAGCATGCAGTGAGCGTTCTTTTTAACGCTGATAACAAGTAAGAAGCTTTACGTGCTCGGTAAGACGTAAACTGAATGGATATTTTTAATACATGATAAAATAATATTTTGTTATTTTAATTTTGCAAGTGGCGGTCATAGCTGTTACATGAACACCTCAACACTGCTCCGTCTCAAATGTGACCAGAAAAGTTCTGCAAAATTTAGGGTGCCAAAAACTGTCAGTTACTTCGGAACCGAAACAAATAATTTCAGAGTTTAGTCAGGCTTGGAAGAATTTATTTACAATGTGGCATTCGGTTACATTTGTTTTTCTCTCGTTCACCAGCTGTAAACTCCAGCAGAAAGTTCTGGTTGTTCCTCCACCTCTGGACTATTATCTTGTTCCAGAACCTGAGTGCTGCACGCACATCTGTTTTACAGATCTGACATTTATATGCAGATTGTTGGTTCCTTGCCTCTCATGCAATGCACTCTGACTTTGAAGAAAAGCCCCCCCCCCCCCCCCCCCCCCATCTCCAATGCTTGTTGGGGAGGCAGTGGGTCTATTCTTGTCTTTCTCAATCATGCCTTGGAACCCACACAGGGTCTGTGACATATTCTGCTTCTTTCATTTGCTTGAAATAAATTATCAATTTATCTACACCTGCAGCGCTGCCTCAAGTATGAACTTCACTGTCTTTTGCAATTCACTTAGCGGCCCGTAAAGTTTGGTCTGTTACAGATGATATTGAAATGAATATTTACTGAGAATTTAATATGGTCAAACTTTACTAACACATATTCCAAGGGATTGAAAACTCAAGAGTTCATGTTAAAAAAAATATGGTGGCCGGGAAATTAACATTATCTCTGCTGGGACCAACATTGTGTTCATGTTACCACACTTTACATACAATAAACTCAAATGAAGGAACAAGTGCAAACATTCATGGGAGACAGCTTGATGCACACTTACTAAACCATTTGATTATTACTAGAGTCTTCTGAGAAAGTTGGAAGGTAGAGAAACCCATAAGAAAAAAAGAAGGGAAACCCCTAAGAAAAAAAGAAGTATGTTCTTCTTAAGTGAGTCTATGTTAACAAAATTTGGTTCTTTATTAATATCTTACCCCAGATGATGTCACAGGACATTTCAACATTTTAGAGGGTGGTAAGACTGGGTTTCCCGGCTTTCTGATGCTTTTAACGACCCCAAAACCCTAACCCCACACCAGGTATCTGATACTAGACTTATATTTTTAACAGCCCAATCAGCAATGGGTGTATGATGTGGTCATCATCACACTGTCCGCCTTTGCTTTCCAGGATATTACCTGGTACCCATTTTAGGCTGGGTCGACCTAGAAAGGTCTTTTCCCCGTGTGAATTCCAGAGCCAGAAGTGGATGAACAAAACTTTCCACCGGAGTTTATAGCCGGTAAATGCTAGAAGAAGAAGAACAAATGCCTTTTATATTACCCAATATAGTATCAAACACGTTAAGAAGAGCACTCAGTTAATATGAAGATAACATTGGTCCCAGCAGGGCTGTATTATTGTCAGTAGTTGGCATACAATGTTGTGATTTACAGCTAGGCTGAGATATCTGCATCCTTTAGCCCAACACATCCAGTCTCATGAAACCCCTCATTGGTTGCTTGACATGACATTCTAATAGGGCCCCCCCCCCCCCCTCATAAATAAAACGACCTCAGATCTCACATGGGATTAGCAATGACAAACAATGACTTGTTCCACATCTGGCCGGTTCATTACCCCATCCTGTTCCAACTTTTACTGTAACACATTTTGTCCTGCAGTATTTCTATTTGGACCTGTTTGGACCTAGGTGTGTCTTATATAACTAACACAGGTTTAGGATATACTGAGTTGAATTAATTCCTACTCCCCCTGTGTGGGTTCCAGTCCCCATATGGGGGCGGGGGAGGGAAGGGTGGGGGGATAATGGACTCATTGCCTCCTAATAAGACGCCGTAAATGGTGTCTACTTAGGGATGTTTTTTTTTTTTTAAATCAGAATGCATCTGCTTGACAGGCAAGGAACCAACAGTCTGCATATAAGCCAGATGTGAACAATAAATGTGCATGCAAAACTGAAATATTGCAACAAGACCAAATTTCAGAAGTGGACAAGCAAGCAGAACTTTCTGTTTGAGTTTAGAACAATTTATGTCGGGGAATGAATGAGTTAATAAATTTAAAAAACAAAAACTGTCAAATCCCCATTACACTTTAAACAATAGTGAATTTCAGACTAGTGGCAACTTGTGCCAGATTCTTGAATCTCAGACTGGGTGCCAAATCATGTCCTATTCCTAACTTACAACCGTCTTCTTATTCATATAAACAATCTTCTAGCTGGCATTCTTGTTTTCTGTTGTCATTATCTTCTGTGTGCCACCAAGCACTAAACATATGATCAGTAGAAGAGTTAAGACAAGTACAGTTGCCAGGTACACTATGCTGTTGTGACAAATCTTAGATTGTCAATAATCCCTTTCATCCTTTTCCTTCTAGATTCTAGCTGACATTGGCAGTACCCAAAGCAAAGGTTTTTATTTAACTAGAAATTAAAAAAAACACTAAAAGATTAATTAAAACCGCCATCAAATCCTTGTCAACAACACAAATATATCGAAAGCTGCTGCCCAAGATCAGTCTAGATGGTTTTAACTTCTTCGTCATGATACAGTGACCAGTGAACCAAAAGAAGTTGGACTGCCAAAACAACAGACTAAAATTTCAGTGTAGTAAACCTCTTCTCTCTTCTATTGTGTCTACCAAATATTGTTCAAAATCCCCAAGAAGTTTCCGGGCATAGATGGCCTTAACAGTCATCTTCATACATTATAGCTATTTTATCTCATTTTTCATTCAGAGATCATCTTCACCACATACTGGACATGATAGTCTCATTCAGAGCATTTCCAAGTATTTTTAGGCTAATAACTCTCATTCTATTCTGCCTGATGTAATGATAGAAGGCTCCTGTCTCCCTACTTCAACTGGTACACCCAGGGTAGGGCTATTAAAGTTTACTCAAGGGCCAAAATTGTGAAAATGGGGATCGTGGTGGGCCAGAGGCTTGCGCCCCAGCATAGACGGAGCTTTAGTACGATATAACTGGCAATGATTCGAGGGCCACTTGCGGCCATATCTGGCCCACGGGCTGCCAGTTGAATAGCCCTGACCTAGGGTGTGCGGTCAATTCAGTAAAGAATTAATTTTTTTGAAAATACTTAATTGAAAGCCTCACACAGTTTACTCCCTCTTATCACACTGACAATGTCTCGCCTGTCGGATGTTTAATCTCAGTGAATGATGAGTGGCCATAATTTTTGATGGATAAACAACACAACATTTATCAGCATTATTCCTGTCACCCCTTCTGGATTATAACTGGGATAGATAGTGTATATGTATAAACACTTGTTCCACTGTTGGTATGTATGTTTTAAATCCTGATGACAAAGTGATCAGTTCCTTGAAAAGTAAAACAGCCAACATCATCATCAACTACCTTTTGTGCCATTATACACCAAATGAATTTTGCAATTTATTCTTTCATTCTGTTTTATCCTGAGCAATTGTTCCAATATCATGGATTGAAATAGTCCAGCTCCTTTGGCCTTTCTCATTAATGTTAACATTAGAGTCTCGTTTGGACATTCTCATTTCCTCAGCCCATAGAACACAAACACATCATAGATCAAATCAGAATTGTGACTTGTATCTTAAGTGAGTCTGGTGTTCACCATGGTGAACTGGTCAAACTATTTGCTTTTCACAATGAAGACTGTTGATTCATTTTCAGACTCTATTTTAGTTCATAATTTTTTCCAAGATCATTGGGGATCAACACTGGAGCTACCTGTTATTTTTCTTTTTTTTGGGGGGTCTGCCTTGTGCACAGTGTGCTTCTTGTTTGGTGTATGCCTTGTATGGTATGGCATCATAAGGTCTTCTCTCCAAGTGAGCACTTTGATTTGCTCTATTTGTACATAATTCAGAATTTGCTCTGTGCTGATTTTTTCTCTTATGACTTCATACTTGATTTTTGTTCTTTTCTATTCACTCCTGCAGCCCTTCTCAGACATCTTATTTCCATAGTTGCTAATGTTCTTTACCAATTTGTTGTGAGTGACCATGTGTGGTACAGGGAGTATAGAGTGGGAATGATTATGCTTTGTATGAGATGTTTCTTTGTGGCTAGCTGTTTCAAAGACAGACTGAGCCATATAAGACAAAATCCAGGGCAATGCAGATAGTCCTCTCCCCTTGACAATTTATGTTTTTAAAGAACATTTGGCTCTGTTGTTGCTTGCATTATCTGAGCTGAAGAGATTTTAGTATAGAGTCCAACCTCAGAATGGCCCATAAATATAAGAATGGTAGTACTTATTTACATGCTACATCATAATCAAAGCTTTATTCAAGCTTATGTGTGGAACTAGAACCTGGCTCCTCCAAAGTTTGTTTCCTAGAACGTTTTGAATGTGATGATGGTGTCTCTGATGATGAGGATGATAATGATGATTCTTGGATAGGTGATGATTCTTGGATAGGTGATGATTTCAGGATAGGTGATGTTGCCTTTCGTTTCCTTCCACTTGCAGAATCATCACCAGAAGTAATGTCAATAGTTGCAGGTTTATCAGATATTCTAGACTGTTCTTTCTGCACTACTTCTATAGTTTTCTCAGTGAAGGGATTTATATTTGGACCCTGTGTAAATGTCTGTGATTCAGCATGAACCTCTGCTGGTAAATGTATTTCTTTGTCTTCAGTTAAATCAGTGTTTCTAGAAGTTGATTCTTGTAGCTGTAATAAGTCTGCATTTGCTGTGGAATTTATATTGTCTGTTACTTTAACAGTGTCAATTTGTGCATCTTTATGCTCTGCTTCACAAGAAAACGCTTTACAACTGGCTTCAATTTCCGTTTGCGGAATTTGTACTTCAATGTTTTGTTTATCAGATAGACTAACAGACTTTGTTGTTTGCAAAGGTCTTACAATCAAAGACTGCCTTTGATTTTCTGGTATACTCTCCTCTTTATGAAATGCTTCAGCACTTTGTTTAATCTCTGTTTTTAATGAATGATGTGTTTTGGGGTCTGTGACAGTAGCATCAGGTTTTGAAGGGTTTCTCGAGTGCTTTCTGTGAGAACTTTTACTTTTTTCTTTCTTTTCACACTCACTGGTGGACAGGCGTCTTATATTTAGCACTGAAGGATCTTGATGTGCCACTAATACATGTGTTTTCCATCTCATGGTGCTCCCAAAAATCTTGTTACAGAGACTGCAGGGTATTTCCCGTGGAATTCTCTGGAAAGTTTCATCGTCATCTGAGTTATCTGAGTCAGGTCGCTGAATTGTAACTTCAAATATAGTGTCTAGAAGACCTTGCATCCCAACTACACCCCCAGTGGTGCCCATTAAGTTGGCATCCCGTTCGTTCTCCTTACACTGTCGTATAATCTTGTCGGCTACTTCATTCATGATATGATGAGAAGGCATGCTGGGATCTCGAAGAATACTTGTAAGCTGATCTAGATTGATCGGAGGAAGACCAGGCATTATTGTTCTTGTTGCCCTGCCCTGTGGATGCTGCTGTTTTGTTTCCTCTGCCGTCTCACTCCCATCCAAACTTCCATTCTCCCGCTTCTCACTTTGAACAGTAACTGCTGCTTGTGGATTATCTTCTGATGTATTTTGTGATTCTGTGTCTGTAACTTTAGCTTCATCATTCCCTGAAACATTCTCCTTCTTCTCAGACATGATAAGGGTGTAGACAAGATGTTAATATCCAGAGAGCTGTAATTGTTTTTTAAAGTGGCACACCAAAGGAATTTGGTGCAAAGAAACAAACTTCTATCAATATAATTTCATCTTCTTGATAACAGCCATGCAAATCATAGTCCAAAAGGTAACCTGGTGAGGAAAAAAAAGTGTTTACATGTTTAGCATATGCAGACAAATAACACTGACATCTAAGGATCGATTTTTAAAAAAAGTCACTAAAATAAGACTATTTTGGAAACAATGCCTAACTTTGTTTATTTTATTTGCTTTATTTCCTTCTTCTTTGTTTAATCTATTAATTCTTCAGGGAGATCTAACATTCTGCTATTTGCTCTTCTGACCGCAACAACCATAGAAATTTTATACAGGTAGAATTTCTCTGATGTTATCTTCCCATCTCGTTCTTGGTCTATCTCTCGCTTTATGTCCTTCTCCTCTTTTGGTGTATGCCTTGTTTAGTATTTTGTCAAAGCTAAAGTGATATAATAGTTATAATCAAAATAATTTAAAAGAGTAACAGAAACAATGGAACAAAACATTAACTAATGATGCTGGACACAAATTTCTGGCTTTCCAATAACGAGCCCCATATACTGGCTTGTTGGCCCTTATACTTTTAGTCCTCAGGGGGTTAGCATCAGAGGCACAAAGGTGGAAAGGGGGAGGGGGTTGACAAGAAATGTATTATCAGCACATCTTGCGTTCACTGGGCTTGTATGTAGGAACTTATAAAAATATTATGTATTCCTTAGGACTGAAAAAGTTAAAGAAATATTTTTATTTTTTATTTTACCGACCAATGGCAAATGATCATCTCCCAATATGGGTTCCGAGATCCCATTGTGAGGACAAGAATAGACCCACTGCCTCCCCAACAAGCATGTCGTAAGAGTCAACTAATTGGAGACTTTCTTTGAAGTCAGAGTGCATCTGCCTGAGGAACCAACAATCTGCATACATGTAAGTCAGATCTGTAAATCGGATGGGCATGCAACACTCAACTTCTGGAACAAGACTAAAGTCCAGAGGTGGATGAACATTCAGAACTTTCTGCTGGCGTTTACAGCTGGGTAACGCGCAGAAGACGAAGAGGAAGACTTATTTTTTTTATTGTTAATGTCTAAGTTTAGCACTGTATTAAACAGGTTTTTATGGTGTCAATCGTTGAGAGTCACACATTAAAACACAGACAGGGTGGTGGGGGGGGATTCATGGCGAAGTGGTCAAGCCGTTTGCCTTGCGCTCTGCAGGTCGTTGGTTCATTTCATGCTTCAGTTCATGATTGCAACTTTTACTGCGCCTGGGGATCGCCGGCAGAGCTAGAGAGTTCATGCTCAGTGCTGCTCGCTCAGCAAGTGGTTGCTAGCCGTTCTGCAGAGAGAGACTGAGCCAAATGGGATAAAACCTGGTTCAATGAAGTCAATCTTCTTGACTTAAACATTTAACACCAACAAAGAATCACTGGTCAGACGTGAATCCAACAGCAGCAGATACCAGAAATCCCCCCATCGTATCAAACAGTGATACTGGGACACCTGTCAGCTATGAAAAAACCTGATATAGAATAAGGAAGAAGGAAAATTGTAGAACGTGAGGGTTAAACATATCAAACATGATCTATAGCAGCGGTTCTCAACATGTGGGTAGTGACCCTTTTGTGGGTCGAATGACCCTTTCACAGGGGTCACCAAGACCATCGAAAGAAAACAGCCCCCGTGTGGGTTCCGGGGCCCCATTGTGGGGAAAACAAGAATAGACCCACTGCCTCCCCAAAAGCATGTCGTAAGAGTCGACTAATTGGGGAGCTCCCTTTGAAGTCGGAGTGCATCTGCCGGAGAGGCAAGGAACCAACAGTCTGTATTCAAGAGAATGAGATCTGTAAAACTGATGCACACGCAACACTCAGGTTCTGGAGCAGGACTGCAGTTCAGTAGTGGACGAGCAACCAGAACTTTCCGCCAGAGTGTACAGCTGGTGAACGCGAAGAAGAAGAAGAAGAAAGAAAACACATATTTCCTGAAGTAGCAATGAAAATAATTGTTTGGTTGGGGGTCACTGCAGCTTTAGAAACTGTAGTAAAGGTTCACAGCATTAGATAGGCTGAGAGTCACAGATCTATAGAATTATGTTGCTGCCTGTGGCTTTGTAATTCTGATATACCTGCTCGATTCCAGCTACAGACCACTTTGCAATAATTTGACAATGGTATGGTACACCAACCATTCAGCAAGCCATGGCAAACTACTGAATGTAAAACTGCCTAGTAAAGCCACAAACAACCAAAACATGCTGGTTCTGTAACATCCTGTAAAGGATACACAACTACCATAAAATTATCTCACTCCAGAATGAAGGTCTAAAGAAAAAAAAAGAATAAAGAAAAATTATCAAAAACAGAGAATGCCTCATCTTGCAACATTCCTCCTACATGATTCAACAAATAGTTTCTAGAGATATATGATGCTTGAGAAACCCTGACCTCCACTCTACCAAGGCTTCCAGATACATGATGCTTGAAAAACCCTGACTTCCACTCTACCAAGGCTTCCAGATACATGATGCTTGAGAAACCCTGACTTACAATCTACCAAGGCTTCCAGATATATGATGCTTGAGAAACCCTGACTTACAATCTACCAAGGCTTCCAGATACATGATGCTTGAGAAACCCTGACTTACAATCTACCAAGGCTTCCAAATATATGATGCTTGAGAAACAATAATTTCCACCCAAACCAAGGGTTCCATATATATGATGCTTGAGAAACCCTGACTTACAATCTACCAAGGCTTCCAGATATATGATGCTTGAGAAACCCTGACTTACAATCTACCAAGGCTTCCAGATATATGATGCTTGAGAAAACCTGACTTCCACCCAAACCAAGGCTTCCAGATACATGATGCTTGAGAAACCCTGACTTACAATCTACCAAAGCTTCTGGATATATGATGCTTGAGAAACATTGATTTCCCAGATATATGATGCTTGAGAAACCCTGACTTCCATCCAAACCAAGGGTTCCATATATATGACGCTTGAGAAACCCCCTACTTTTACTCCGCCAGGATTTCCCAGATATACACAATGTTTGGGAAACCTTAACTTCCCATCCAGCCTTAGTTCCCAGATAAAAATGATGCTTGAGAAAGCCTATCTGCCACAGTCCCTACAAGACTATGCTCGATAAACCCTGACTTCGACAACTCAACCATGGTTTACAGAGATATATGATGCTTCAGCTACTCTGACTTTTACCCTGCCACAGTCCACAGATATACACTATGTTGGGGAAAGACTGACTTCTACCAAACCATGATTCCCAAATATTAATTATCCTTGAAAGACCATGACTTCCATGCAGTCATGGTTCCCTGCAACATCATAATGCTTGAGAAACCCAGATTTTTACCAAATCGACCACCACATATGCACAACACTTGAGATACCCTGACTTTCATCAAATGACAAATCTCAGGGTGTACGCAATGCTTGAGAAACTCACACTCCCACGGTTCCCACATAAGAACCATGCTTGAGAAACCCTGCAACCAGGGACACTACCTACTTCTTATTATAACCCTGAGTCATGTGACCTCACTGACTTAACGAGGACGGACACGATGTTCATCCGCTCCCAGGACGTGAAAAAATACGGTCAAATTATTGAGCCGCACCGGACTATTTCCTACAAAATATTTTACAATTGTGTAGAAATTACATGCAAAAACTGGCAAATTATATCATAATGCGAATAAACCTCTATTTGGGAATGTAAATACTTGATTATACACAGAAGATTAAGCTAATTTGGAAATACAGAAATGCGGTGAATCGTGAATACTTGAGTTCAAGTAAACCTCCCTTCATTTCCAACGCTTGACCGAATTTTTCATCAATAGATTTTTTGAAGATATTAATGCAAGTTACTTGACTGTCCTTTAAAATTATACTGTTATTCTTTTTATATTAATGAATTTCTCGATAATCTTAACAAAAATGTGTATAATAATGTAATAGTAATACTCACAAGCTAAACTTAAACATTAGCAATAATAGCATGCATTCAGATATCACACGTTGTTGTATTTTCTTTTTTATTTACAGAGAAACAGGACCATAAACAATTCTTTGAAATTAACTCCGATGTTGTATTATTTATGTCTCTTATAGCCACGGTATACTCACAGTCTCACACAAGAATATGGTGAAGCACCAGAATCGCCAGATGGGAAGGCTGTTGAGTGAGGTTTGCTACAAGCACTTTGTTTAGGTTTGTGTGTACACGGTGGAAACAGTGAGTCCAGGTTGACCAATCAACACGCAGCGTTGCGACAGACGCGCGGTTTTCATTAGCTGGAGTCGGTTTGGGGGCGGGGTTAGTGTTTGTGGCAAGTTGAAAAGTAAATATGTTACATCACGATCTTTATTTTTTATTCTTCCGCTTCTTCTTTTTTTTTTTCTCCTTCCAACTCCTCTTTTTCTTAGTTTCTCTCCTTCTTTTCTTCCTTCTCCTTTCTCTTCCTTCTTCTTCTTAATTTCCTCCTCCTCCTCCTCCTCCTTCTTCTTCTTCTTCTTCTTCTTCTTCTTCTTCTTCTTCTTCTTCTTCTTCGTCTTCAAGTGAGTCAAAATTTGTTAAGAAAAGACATGGATAAAATAAAATGTAAAGGCTCCTTCAGACGTCAGTGGCGCGTCGGGCAAACGAGTTTGACCCGGTGGGTGATGTCAACATCACGCCTGCTGCCTTCTTCCTATGACTTTACCTGGTACCCACTTAAGGCTTCGCCAGTCACAAAGGCACTGGATAGTGACTATAATAACTGAAATGATATGACATAATCATTAATGTGTAGTTTAAAAGAAAATAATAATCTTATGTCGCGTATGTGAATGTTTAAAGTAAACTGGTTTCCATATCTTTTGTTTTGTTTACTGTTGAGCTGTCATGATGTTGTTGATGTTGTTCGTCCACCAC